ACCCACAGAGACCCACGGATTAGCACGGATGGCTATGTACAGTGTGAAATAAGTTCAACATACACAGAGACACATAGACACCCAGACCCATAGAGACACCCATAGAGACACCCACAGAGACCCACGGATTAACACCGATGGCTACGTACGGTGTGAAATAAGTTCAACATATACACATACACAGAGACACATAGACACCCAGACCCATAGAGACACCCATAGCGACACCCACAGAGACCCACGGATTAGCACGAATGGCTACGTACAGTGTGAAATAAGTTCAACATACACAGAGACACATAGACACCCAGACCCATAGAGACACCCATAGAGACACCCAAAGAGACCCACGGATTAACACCGATGGCTACGTACGGTGTGAAATAAGTTCAACATACACACATACACAGAGACACATAGACACCCAGACCCATAGAGACACCCATAGAGACACCCACAGAGACCCACGGATTAGCACGAATGGCTACGTACAGTGTGAAATAAGTTCAACATACACAGAGACACATAGACACACAGACCCATAGAGACACCCATAGAGACACCCACAGAGACCCACGGATTAACACGGATGGCTACGTACGGTGTGAAATAAGTTCAACATACACACATACACAGATATACATAGACACCCAGACCCATAGAGACACCCATAGAGACACCCACAGAGACCCACCGATTAACACCGATGGCTACGTACGGTGTGAAATAAGTTCAACATACACAGAGACACATAGACACCCAGACCCATAGAGACACCCATAGAGACACCCACTGAGACCCACGGATTAGCACGGATGGCTACGTACAGTGTGAAATAAGTTCAACATACACAGAGACACATAGACACCCAGACCCATAGAGACACCCATAGAGACACCCACAGAGACCCACGGATTAACACGGATGGCTACGTACGGTGTGAAATAAGTTAAACATACACACATACACAGAGACACATAGACACCCAGACCCATAGAGACACCCATAGAGACACCCACAGAGACCCACGGATTAGCACGGATGGCTACGTACAGTGTGAAATAAGTTCAACATACACAGAGACACATAGACACCCAGACCCATAGAGACACCCATAGAGACACCCACAGAGACCCACGGATTAACACGGATGGCTACGTACGGTGTGAAATAAGTTCAACATACACACATACACAGAGACACATAGACACCCAGACCCATAGAGACACCCATAGAGACACCCACAGAGACCCACGGATTAACACGGATGGCTACGTACGGTGTGGAATAAGTTCAACATACACACATACACAGAGATACATAGACACCAAGACCCATAGAGACACCCATAGAGACACCCACAGAGACCCACGGATTAACACCGATGGCTACGTACGGTGTGAAATAAGTTCAACATATACACATACACAGAGACACATAGACACCCAGACCCATAGCGACACCCACAGAGACCCACGGATTAGCACGAATGGCTACGTACAGTGTGAAATAAGTTCAACATACACAGAGACACATAGACACCCAGACCCATAGAGACACCCATAGAGACACCCAAAGAGACCCACGGATTAACACCGATGGCTACGTACGGTGTGAAATAAGTTCAACATACACACATACACAGAGACACATAGACACCCAGACCCATAGAGACACCCATAGAGACACCCACAGAGACCCACGGATTAGCACGAATGGCTACGTACAGTGTGAAATAAGTTCAACATACACAGAGACACATAGACACCCAGACCCATAGAGACACCCACAGAGACCCACCGATTAACACCGATGGCTACGTACGGTGTGAAATAAGTTCAACATACACACATACACAGAGACACATAGACACCCAGACCCATAGAGACACCCATAGAGACACCCACAGAGACCCACGGATTAGCACGGATGGCTACGTACAGTGTGAAATAAGTTCAACATACACAGAGACACATAGACACCCAGACCCATAGAGACACCCATAGAGACACCCACAGAGACCCACGGATTAACACGGATGGCTACGTACGGTGTGAAATAAGTTCAACATACACACATACACAGAGACACATAGACACCCAGACCCATAGAGACACCCATAGAGACACCCACAGAGACCCACGGATTAGCACGGATGGCTACATACAGTGTGAAATAAGTTCAACATACACAGAGACACATAGACACCCAGACCCATAGAGACACCCATAGAGACACCCACAGAGACCCACGGATTAGCACGGATGGCTACGTACGGTGTGAAATAAGTTCAACATACACACATACACAGAGACACAGACACCCAGACCCATAGAGACACCCACAGAGACCCACGGATTAGCACGGATGGCTTGCGTTGCGATCGAAACGTAATGATTTATTTTTTTATATATAAAAGGGAAATTTGTGAATATGTGCCTGTTCGAAATGTTTAGCATACTTCCCGACATGCAACAAACCTGAAATTTGGCATGTGGGCAGCTTCCAAACTGTACACAATGCAAAAAGTATAAAAATAGAAGGGAAACAATAAAATAATGAAAATATAAAAGAATAAAATTCTCACGACGTTGTGGTTTTCACACCGGACGATGATTGCTTGTGTTGCAGTCGAAACGTCGTGAGAATTTTATTGTTTTATATTATTACTATTTTATTGTTTCCCTTCTACGTGACTTTACCGAAAGAACCAAGAATATGAATCCCTGCATTCACAAAAGCTTTAAATAAAAATATAAAAATTGACTTTTGTATTTTGGGGGGTGGGGGGGGTGCACAATCATGGATATAATATTTTGCACGGCAAGTGAGCGGTGACGTCACATCTGTGATGTCACTGCGGCAGCGTCACGCAGTGTGCCTGCTGACGTCAGCGTATGATGTGCG